GTCACTGTACTCTTAGTGGGAACAGGTAGGAAGGGTTTGGGGAGGGGTTGTGCTTCCTACCTCCCTGCCTTTATTCCCACTCACTTTAGCTTTGACGTGAATAGATGAGCTTTCTCAGTCTTGCAAAGCATGTGACCGTCAGACTCTGCATCAGCTTGGATTGCTGGCTACGGGCTATCTCTCTTAGCAAAGCTGTAGATACATAAGCTCAGAGGTCATGTTGCCTGGATTCAAGTCATAGCTCTAACCCTGTCTAGCTTTGTGATCTTGGGCAAATTCTTTCGTGCCTCAGTTCCTCAAATGTAAAATGGGGAATAACAATGGTACTATTGTTATTGTGAAGATTAAATGAGTTAATATGTATAAAGCACTGAGAGCCTGGAACACTACGAGTGCCTCAGAAAGACCCACTGTGTTGGGTCTTCATTGCTGTGTGCGGGCTTTCTCTAGTTGTGGCCAGTGGGGGCTACTCTTCGTTGCAGTGTGGGCTTCTCATTGTAGCGGCTCCTCCTTGCAGAGCACAGGCTCTAGGCATACGGGCTTCAGTAGTTGTGGTGCACGGGCTCAGTAGTTGTGGCTCGCAGGCTCTAGAGTGCAGGCTCAGTAGTTGTGGTGCCAGGGCTTAGTTGCTCCATGGCATGTGGGATCTTCCCAGACCGGGGATCAAACCTGTGTCCCCTGCATTGGCAGGTGGATTCTTAACCACCGTACCACCAGGGAATTCCCTGTTTCTTTTTCAAGATTGTTTTGGCTTATTCTGGGTCTTTTGCATTTCCATATGAATTTTATGATCAGCTTGTCAATTTCTGCCAAAAAAAAAAAAAAAAGGCAGCTTGGATTCTGGGGAGAATTGCCATCCTAACAATATTAAGGCTTACAATCCATGAACACAGGATGTCTTTCCATTTAGTTATGTCTTCTTAAATTTCTTTTATGTTACTGATTTTAAGCAGAAGAGTGACGTGATCTGATTTATACTTTAGGAAGATCACTCAGTAGTATGAAAAAACAATTGGGGGAAAGAGATGCTGCATGAACAAGGACAATAGTAGCAGAGACAAAGAGGAAGCACTAATTACAGAAATATCTATGATGTAAATCGGCAGGACTTGACGATTGACTTTATGTAGAAAGAGAGGAAAGAGTAAAGAATGACTCCCAGGTTTTTGGCTTGGGTACTTCATGATGCCAACCCACTGAGATAGAAAATACACAAGAAGCAGTAGCGGGTAAAAGTTGGTACATGTTGAGCTTGAGGTGACTGGACACCCAGGTGGAGAGGTAAGATCATTGGATATTTAAGTCTGATCATCAGGGGAGCTGTCTAGTCTGGGAGAATCATCATATGAAAGGGGAGCCATGAGACTACATGAATTAACCAATGGGACCCATAAAGGAAGCAGCAAGGATACAGAGGAATACCAATATTTAAAAGTTGAGCTGTTGACAAAAAGTCTACAATGGAGACTGAGAAGGAACAGCCAGAGGCAGGAGGAAAACCGGGAAGGAGGTGTGTTACAGGAGTACGGAGAGAGTGGCTGATAATAATGTTAGGAACTGAAATGCTTCATTGGATTCAGTGTGGTCAGAAGTCACTGGTGACCTAGAAGAGGGCTCTTCCAGCAGAGGGCTGAACCG